CTAATTTGTGCATAACGATTTCAATTCGGCAAATTCCATTTTTGGCAAAGACCAGCAGATAGACTGATCGAGATGAAACATTGATGACTAATTCAACTTGCATGGATAGGAGATTAACCCATTAAGCTGCTGCAGATTGAGCTTCCCCATTGACGAATAAAATTGTCTGGCATTAGACAAGTAAAAAAGTAGGACTCACTGGGTGCATTGTGCCTCAATGGGTTAACTGGAGACACTGTCAGATTTTTTTGGTTAATTAACCCATTAAGCTGCAGAGCTTCCCCATTGACGAGTAATTAAATTGTGTGGCGTTAGAAAAGTTAAAAAAATAAGTAGGGCACATTGCGTCTCAATGGGATAATACTGTACAGTTGGTAATAAATTACTCTCCAGTTTACTAAATAGCCGGCTATAAGCTGTGTTTGTTTAATTATTTTATTTAGGAAGCATTAGCAGTTAGCAAAGAAAAAAATAAAGTACTTGTCAAGGATGCGTTGGAAAAAATAGAAAAGAAGGATGCTCGTATTAAACTTTTGGAGAAAGAGAATTTGTCAAAGCATACAAAACTGGGTGTAACTCAAACAAAACTGGCCAAGATGAAGTCTCAGTTAGAGTTAAACAAAGGAGAGATTACAAAGCTTCATCAGTTAGCTGTAAGTTAACTTTATGAAAATGTATTTCACCATGGGAAGAGTAATTTAATGCTTTTGTAAAAATGTTGATACAACAAATCCTACACTGTTATTTGACTTGGTCTATTGAAATGCAATTTAGTTGTCAAGGAGAAAGCGTTGGCTGTTAATTCAGTACTTAGGGTTACCAGATTGTCTGCCCAGTTGTTTAAGCACCAAATTGATCCATATGAGATGCAGATTGTCAAATTTATTCACAAAATATTATAAGATTTATCTTTTCTCTAACCCAATATTAGCTTGTGTATAGACTGTATTATGCAATTCCTGAGCGTGATGTGTTTTAATTGTGATGTTTTTTATGTTACTCTGAGTGTATATCCACACTGGGCAGGCTGAAAAGTTAGCCTGATCGACAACGGTGAGAATCGAACCCGTGACCTTTGGGGTACTAGTCGAATGCTCTGCCAACTGAGCTAGAAGACCAAGTCGGTTCGAGTGTGATGTGTTTGTTTACGTTAGACAGAAAAGTCAGAACTTTGTTTTACCTTTGAACTCAGCCAATCGGAATCTACTGAGTTTAAATTTAACTATGACCAATCTGAATCAACTACCCAGATCTGGGTAGCGCAGCTTGGGATCGACATGCAATGCCACAAATTTTCACAACAGTCTGTACACAGACTGGGCTGCAAGCAGGCTAGCACACAGCCTACCCCATATAAGCCTTCCACAATTTGGAATTGCCAATCATCCTTGCAGAAAGTGAGAAAGAGCATCACTTTGGGTATAGAGCCTCGCATAATGTTGCAATCATGAAAACGAGGTTCTTATAGCCAAGGTGACATACTTTCCATCCAGAAGGGTGTATTGCTGAAAGTCTTAAGAGAAACACAATTCTATTTTTGTAGGCAGATCACAAAGCTGAAATATCAACTCTTACCAAATCTGTTTCAAAATCTCATGAAGTATTGAGCAAACTATCAGGTATTCAAGTTTCTGTACTCTACGTTGGATCAACATCCTCATTATATAAATACTCTAACTTGTAAAACTCGTGAAGATTTATATAATTATTATAAAGAATTATAGAATGTATTTTATGAAGAAAATTGGAAAGAAAGCAATTAATGTTTGATATGATGTTGTATCCACATATACAAAGTTCTCGAGCTCCAGATATGCGTAAACTTTTTCATTGGTATTCTCAGTTAAAATCGTACTTTAAAAAAAAGAGCAACCATTAATAATTGCCTGCTCGTGACTTTGTAGTAATATTTCAAATCCGACTATGAGGACTTACACTAAGACCAGATTTCAAGGACTTGAAATCTAGTCCAGTCTGATTTGGAGGATTTGAAATGACATCTCGTGAATTAAAATTTTAATTTTTAATCCAGTCCTAGAACTGGATCAATATATTTCACCAGGTATCCAGTATTACTGTATCATGTGAGCAAAATAAAGCAATATGGTTGGCTAATGGACCATTTGCATTATAGACTAAATTTTGATCTAGACAAAAATTTCATCATAGCTTGAAAGAGCATCACAAAATTAGTAATATTCCAAAGTTTCGTTGCGAAATGTTGTAAAATGCGGATAATATAGCCTTGCGAAATTTGCCGTTTTTCAGTCATTTTGTATTACGCACAGGAAATTGACAGCCCGATCGGGTGTTGGGGCATCAATTTCCTGTTTGTAATACAAAATGACTGAAAATTGAAAATTTTGCAAGGCTATATTATCCGCATTTGGAATATTACTAATTTTGTGATGCTCTTTCAAGCTGTGATGAAATTTTTGTCTAGATCAACATTTAGTCCATAATTCAAATGGTCCATTAGCCAACTCAATTAGACATGAGTTTGAGATGGTACGATACAAGACAGCTGCCTATGATGTATATGTTACATATCATTAGTTTATATTGTGTTGCAGCAAGCATCTGTATTTGTTCATCTTAAATTGACTTTAGTCCACAAATATTTGTAGAGAAAGCTGATCATGTAATGTTGGACCACAAGAAGATGAAAAAACAAAATACTGAGCTACAGGAACAGAATGAAAAGCTTCAAAATGACATGTAAGGTTACACGATAATTGAATGCAACTGTAACATTTTAAACGTATGCATACAATAGATTATTAAAACATATCTTAGCCAACACAAATTTTGAGGATCTGGGGCAATGCGTCCCCTTTGGAATCACCAGTCCCTCAGTATCCTGTGCAGGCCTGCAAATTAACAGTGTTGGTCATTGGACATTGTCTGACCAAATTTTACCTTTTGTCCGATCAAAGTTTTTTTATGATCGGACATGTGACCAACCGATTTAGGCTGGTCAAATATCCAATCTCAAAAAATTGATTTTTAGCACAATTTCATTAATGAAACCAAAGCAATATAAACGACACTCTTCCATTAATTATTTTTTGGCCGCATTAAACCGCAAGATTTAATTACAAATATAAATCGTCTTCTTGTAACATGGTAGAAATTAAAGTTATGTATAACCTGAACCATTATTTACTGAAAATGCGGTATGCATTATTTACTGGAAATGCTTGTAGATTTATACACAGTTTTTAGATGCACTGCAGTGCAGATAAATATGACCAACCGAAATATATCATGCTAATATGAAAAAGACCATGAAAAATTGTCCATTGTCCGAGAAAAACTGATAATTGTCCGAACACTTTTTGTCTTGATCGTCTAGGCCTGCTGTGGGTATTGGGATGATGCAATTTTAAGACCCTGCTTTACTGGAAAGCAACTGTATAAAGAAGTTGAGTATAAGTTTTTCTTGTTTATTTTCTACAGAAAGCAGCTACAATCCGAAAGACAGACTCTTGATGAACAGTTAAATACATTGAGGAAAGAGAAAGAAGATCTCCGTATTAAAGTGAATGATTTGACTAGAAAGAATGAAGTGATTCAAGAAAGTATAAAACAAAAGATTAAAGGTAGTGTATATATGCGAGTGAATTGGGTGGGGTAACTCACATGCCTAGTTACCACTGTTCTGATAATGTAAGCATAGAATGGAACAAAGGTAACCAAGCATTTAAATTATACATGTGAGTGAATTGGGTGGGATAACTCACATGCCTAGTTACCACTGTTCTGATAATGTAAGCATAGAATGAAACAAAGGTAACCAAGCATTTAAATTATATATGTGAGTGAATTGGGTGGGATAACTCACATGCCTAGTTACCACTGTTCTGATAATGTAAGCATAGAATGAAACAAAGGTAACCAAGCATTTAAATTATACATGTGAGTGAATTGGGTGGGATAACTCACATGTCTGGTTACCACTGTTCTGATAATGAAAGTATACTGTACAAGTATATATGGAACATTTGTGAGTGAACCGTGAGGCAAAGGGCATAGACACGTGTGAGCTGGTTAGGTTTATCATTTTTTGAAATTCTTGAGTGAAGAGGGTAGGAGTGAGAGAAACAGAAAAGGTGGAAAGGAGAGGGGCCAAATACTTAACGTATACTGTCTGATTATAGAGCTCTACTCATTGCGAGGCTGTGTCGTGGTCTTACTGATTATTGCTCGAATTTTGGTGAACTGATGGGCGAGAGGAAAGAAGAGAAATCTCGTAAACCTAGGTAAGTTCTTAAGCGTCTTTTATCTTTGGTGGCAACGTGGTGAGGGTGATAGCTTTTCATCTCCGTACTCGATTCTCACTCGGCACCCAAAACTCGTGTGAAAAGAGATCATTAACCCTCTGCTATAGAAACCATAGGTTTTCTCTGGGAGGGTGGGTTCGTTACGTAGAAGTTGATGGACAACGACATCAGCATTAGCTGCTGTTTAATGCATTTACAGTGCACCTACTGTAAGTGGGGCCACTTAGAGAACACTAACCAATCGCATTGCAGAACAGAAAGAAAAATCTAATCAAACTAAAGCTCGTCCAATCAAAAGAAAGATTCAGGAAGCCATTAACTGCAGTGTTTACTTTTACAAGTCTATTTTTACCGTTTGACATTCGTTTATTTGTTCAAATTGTTTTTGGCCTAATGCTGATTGGCTAATGCGCCGTTTGTTGATTTTTTCAATTTCTGTTCTTCAATGTGATTGGTTAGTGTTCTGTAAGAACCCCACTTACTGTAGACGCACTGTAAAGATGTTTGAACCGAAGCCAGGATTGAGTTTATTGAGTTTCTCACTCATTGCATGGTGAGCGGATTTCCCGAAAAGGCTATTGCCCAATTGATAGGGGATCCAAGGTACCTACGATTTAACGTCCTTATCCGAGAAGACGCGAAAGTCTAACCATTTACTGATATCAAAGGCAGCTCTTTCTGCTCAGTTATTTCAAGACCTTGAGTAAAGGTCCGACCAAGGATTGAACCCGGGTCTCCCAGCTTGAAAGGCAAGCATGGACCACGACATTACAAGAGCTGGTTAGGATTATTTATATTACGTTTTTGAACGCCCTCTGATTTAAGATATTCAAGCTTTAGATTACCAGTCTGTGAAAGCTTGAATATTAAAGGAAATGGCAATATATTTTTTTATTTTCTTGTTTGAAAGAACATTTAAAACCATATATAAAACTCTTTTACCGTTTTTAAATATCTTGCTTACTTCTACAAATATTTTAATCGAAAGAAATGAAATGTCCGCCATCTTGGATTTTTGTAGATATGCATGTTACGTCACAACAGGGGTCATGCAATATTTTTATCTAGACAACCACTAATCATTTTGCACTCAAAATTATACTCCGTATCCCCTTGGAAATATCAAGATCACTTGAAACCTTTAAAACATCTACCAATCAATATTTGGTCAACAACGAATACTTTTATATGGTTAATCCCTGTTGTGACGTCACCAAAACTACCGTTAATGAGATAAAATAATTATCCAAGATGGCTGACATCTCATTACTTCAAGTGAAAATATTTCAAGAACTAAGCAAGACATGAAGAATCGGTAAAAGAAGTTATTAAATAGTTTCAAAAGTTCTTTCAAATGAGAAAATAAAAAAATATATTGCCATTTCCCTTTAAATAATGTTTTTATACCAGGGAGCGTCCAAAAACCTAAATTACGATAAGGGATATGGTTTATTCGCAACTTACGTTTTTAATGTTTTTATTCTTTAGGTACCAAAAAACTCCGCGCGGTAAAAGGGTAAGCTCGCCCAAAGTGCTAAACTTTTTGTTTCAAGAACTTTATCTTTTATGCAATTGCTCCAAAAGCGTCGAAGCTTATCTTGCATTTCTTGGAATATTTAGTTGCTTGTCTCTTTTAGCCCAGTGAGACGCCAAGCAATAGATCGCAAGAGGTCAAGGAACGTTTAAAAATGACGTACACGAAGGCATTTGGGTGAGTTGTGCTTTTATTTTCCACTCGTCTAGTCTAGCCTGCGCAGCAGACGGTTATTAAACTCTCTTGAAGAAGACGGACAAGTCGTCTAGACGAACAAATAGTCTCAAAATCGTCTTTTAGTCTGACAAATCATCAGATGTGAAAACGTGTCGGACAACATTTTAGACGAACAAGTCGTCTGAATTTGTTCGACTACTTGTCCGTCTGTGAAGACGATTTTTGAGAGACGATTTGTTCGTCTAGACGACTTGTCCGTCTCTAATGTGAATAGGGCTATTTACTCTTTATTGCCTGAATTTCTTTGCCTGGCGTTTGACGTATAACGCGAAGCTTGAACTCTGTATTAAACCATCTCGAACGGTCGGTGCTAGTATACGTGGCGACGATAACTGCCGAGATACGGTGGTCCACACCAGGGTGTTAGCCAGGTGGCCGTCCGACCGTCCTATGGACGGCCACTTCTGAATTTGGACAGCTAAATTTTAATGGACGGCCATGGACGGCCTTAGTAGCCTGCGAACAGGCCCTGGGTTGCGGGCGGCGCGAAGAATAGAGGGCCTGCACGGATGATAGGTTTTCTTGGTAGTGGCGTTCGTATAGAAACGCAGGCTTCTGATTGGCTTACACTCGTTGACAAAATGACTAAAAATAGCAAATGTCAACAACAGCATTTTGAAGAATTTGAACTTTATTCATTTTAATATTATATATTATAGGACTATCGAACAAATAAAACTAGAAATGGAAACCAAAAGCAATAGCAAAGCATCACAGCAAAAAAGTCTATCATAAATGACTTGAATCTATCGCTTAAATCCAATATACGAAACTATAACAGTATTCTGAACTTCGTCTTCGGATTGACATCAGACCATAGTATAGTACATTTTGAGGTCGTCGTGGCTTCACGGATTATTCTCATTAGTGAGCAAGTCAGCAAGCGAAGGCATACAAAAGATACCCAAATATGTACGAATAATTATATTTTCGATCCTCGCTGGCATGTCATTTAGATAAATATATATCGTACATTAAACGTTGTACTGTTTACTGTATATTAACTGCTGACAATTTCGTCGTCGATACGGCTTCCACTATTGGCACACTCGTGATTTCGAAGAAATTAATAAATACATGCTCATTTATCATTTATTTAGACCACAGTTAGTAAAATTTTAAACGTATTCGGTATTCCAAATCCCAATCTATCTGACCGTATTTTAGTAATAGCTTCAAAATATTCAGAACATTGTTCTTTCAGTCGCACATAGTACAAGTATTACTGTACATTCAAAGCCAATGGTAGTTTATTCGGCTTTATATTTGTATGTGTATTGATATCTATTTAATATTTGAAGAATTCTATATTTTTCCGAGTAATATATTGTGCGGCCCGCTAATGCTTTGTATTATTATTGTTCATGTTGCACAATGTACACGCCTTGCGTCAATTTGACAGTTGACAGTTTATTTATCGCAGTCGACGCTGATTGGTTAGCGTTTAGCAGTGCGAAAAGGGGATGAATGAATAAAACGCATGGTTCCGTGCAGGCTCACCTTTCTCCCAGTGAGCCTGTTCGCAGGCTACGGCCTTAGGGAATATTTTCTTTAAAGAGCAACCTACAAGCTTTGTAATATTTCTTGAATACTTCGCGCCATATTTTTGTAGAACGCGCCATGTTTTTGTAACCATTTTGATGCTTCTCGCATGAAGTATCAAGGAGAATAATGTGAAACCGCTGTTTTAAAAAACAGCAATCTCTTTATCGCTCGAGCGCAACGTTACAGTTACGGTATTGATCATACCATACGTGTGCGTTTACTAATTTAATGACGGAAATGTGCATCTAAAAGTAAAACGTTCAACGAATTAAACACCACAATTCCTCAACAACAGAAAATTGCGGCCACACCCAAAAACATATGACCAAGCCCACAAAAATATGTTGCCACGCCCACAAAATTATTTTGGACGGCCACCTTTGAAATCCTGGCTAACACCCTGGTTCACACTAGCAATTTTGTCGGCGATTTTCTGTTTTTGACGGATGCAAATAAGTGAACTCGCACACAAAAGTATAGAGTCGCTTTTCAGAAGTAAACAATTCTAAGTGTTTTGCATGTCATTCATTCGATCACATTCGCCAGGACGAGAAAAATCGCTGGCAGATTTGCTAGTGTGAGCCAGGCTTAAAGCCTGGTTTCCATATAATAATAATGGCTTTATTTCCCACATTTCAATAGCGGATACGCTAAATTATATTGTGTTTACAATTTAGTTCAACTACTTGTTAAAAACTACAACCGATTCTAGAATATTACATGCATATACAAAATTATATCTAAAATACGACTAGAATATTTCTAAACATTAGTATTTGGGTTAAGATGATCGCCAATTACACTACTCTTATATTCCAAACACAAACTGCCCACCTGACAAAACAGTTTCTTATTAGCATCATATTAACATTCTCAATTTAAAAACTACAGTTCTAGCCTATCGTTATATTTATCTATATGGTCGTAACGGTCGTAAAGATTGAGTCACGATCTTTCTCATCAGCCGAAATGCAACATTTTAGAACTGAGAATACGCGGAGTGATTATAACTAGAGAATCCTTATATGATTTATATGTGGTTTACAAGCATAAACTATTATAAACTGGCCGTTGAGAAAGATCGTGACTCTATTTTTACGACCTTATGGAAACCAGGCTTAATAATTCATGAAGAAAACACAAGAGAAACCATGAGCGTGAAGGAGTTTGTATATCTGATACAAAATCATGTATTTACATAAACTTTAAGTTCAATTTTCTCACCAAATATCATTCAATTATTTTAAATTGTTGAAGAATACGAATGTTCTCTTCAAGACTTTTCACAAGCCATTTACAACATTCGCGGCCGTGTTGCAACACGAACATTCGTGTTGTAAATTGTAGTACATCTAGCATTATAGTTATTGAACAAACAATATCTATTATTTCCATAGTATCTGGTCGCAATGGGTTTCCACGATGTTTCGAGTATCTTTTGATGTTTATCTACTTCATGGCCAAGGCCCGAATGCTCTTTTATCCGCAACAGTAAGTAACAGAACTTAGAGTAGACAGTGGCGTGACGTAAGCTCCTGAAGCCCCCGTCAAATTTTTAAGTGGGGCTCTATTTTCCCCCCAAAAAAGTTGACCATATTCCTTAAAAATAAGGTGTTAAAAAAATTGAGGGAAGACCCTCCAAGTATTATTCATTCGGGTGAGATGCCAAAAAAATCTTGATATTTACCCATAATGCATGAGTCAATTCCAGGAGTAACCATCCCTCCCCCCGGGAACACACCCGGTCATTTGATTTGATTGGTTATGATAGTGTAAATGCCCGGGTGCTGGGACACAACTTGAAGACTAATACACGGCCCTTGGGCAAGCTGAGAGTGGAAAATGCCCCACCCCGGGACGATTTTACAGTCGATTTCACGAAACTTTGACCACAAATGTTACGAACTTTGTTGCGAAGTTCGCAAGTTCGTTGCGAAGTTCGGAAGTTCATATTGGAATTCACAAGCCAATTTGTAAACAAAGTCCCTGATTGGTCCGTGAAGTAAAAGAAGTCCGTCAAATGCGTAGCTGACGAACTGGTTTGTGAATCTCATTATGAATTTTTGAACTTCGCAACAATCTTGTGAATTTCGCAACGAAGTTCGGAAATTTGTGTTCAAAGTTTCGTGAAATCGACTGTAAACGTCAATTAAACTTTTAATGACATATAATCATAGTTATTTAGGAACATTATAGTATTAAACTGCTATGGAATATTATAAAACATAAACCTTTAATAGTTGTATTTAAATTTGCACAGGGTATAATTTTCGCTTATTCTGACAATAAATTTCACGCCACCTTGACCACGAGGACGCAAAATTATAACCTTAAAATTGGATTCTGGGCAAGCATTCTGGGCAAGCATTTGTCAAATCCCCGGGGTCCTTCAATACCCGGCCCCCGTACACGTATATGAAAGGCAAATTCCCGACCCCCGTGAACTGTCTATCGAGCAAATTCCCGGGGTATCCCGGGGGGGGGGGGATGGTTACTCCAGGAATTGACTCGTGCATAACCTAACATGGCAGTACCCTATAGTATTTATAGATGAACTTGTGTTTAGAGCTCGACAACTGGCCTCTGTAGCTCAGTTGGTTAGAGCGCTGCACCGGAATCACAGGGCCGCAGGTTCGACTCCTGCCAGGGACCTGTGGTCGCATTTTTCGCAGCTGTTCCTGGTTAGGTCTAATAAATGTATATAATTTTCCACTCGATAATTTCCATCTACAAGACCCTTCATCTATTCAATTGAGTGAGATACCAACGGAATCTTGATATTTATATATACGTACTATAACCTAGTTTACATTACCGTCCCACTGGAGTTTCATTCGTGCTGTTTCGTTCGTGTTTCTAGAATTGGGACGAGATTGTTATTGACGAGGAGACAGAATCTGGACAGAAAGTTCATTCATCTATCTACGTGCCTTCGCAGGTAGGGTCTCTAATACATGTTGCCGTGCTAATATAATGAAGGGATCAAGCACATTTTGATCCTGAGGCCTAACTCAGGGGCGGACACAAATAGCTCAAATGATCCTCAATAGAATAGGAAATTCGATGCAGACATAGTAGATCTTCATTATCTATGTTTTTGTCTTGGTTTATTTAAGAAATGGTCGATTCATCGTCACGTGTGTATTGTTTTTTCGCTCAACCAAAGAATAGCAGTGTGTTGGTTTAATTACCCAGTCGTGATATTACACAATGGTTAAATGAAAACATAGCTATTGGTTGCTCTGGCGAAAATACAATACACATGTGAAGATGAACCAACCATTTCTTGCATAAACCAAGACAAAAGATAATGAGATCTATCATGGTCTGCATTAGAGGTGTGCAAATCCGATCCGATCGGATTCGTTCGGATTTCGGAACCAAAATATTCATTTCGGATCGGATTGATAAAGTTGTTTCGTGGTCGGATCGGACTTCGATATCACAAATAAAATGAATTAAGTATCCACGCATTATCGCAAGAATTAATTATCCATGCATTTATCAAAGCATTATCGCGGTTGTCGCTGCATTATTCGTTTGATACTTCAATTGGACGTC